TTTCACTATGGGCTTGTGAACTACCTCTCTGAGAAATTGTCCATTAATTCTGGAACCCTCAAATAATGGAGGATTATCTAGCATCCACATGTGGAATGTGGTTTTCTGAAAAGGGCTTATGTCATCAGTCTGGATTAATTTAATTTCACTATTTCATATTTTTGGCATGTAGAATTTCCAATTAATAATTCAAAAAATATGGGTGTAAGGAGCATTGACATTAACAATTTTTGAAGTAGCATCATTCACATATGTGATGGCATTTTAACTGTGTAAATATATCATTTTTAATATAGAAAGTTATTTTAGTATGTTTGGTTCCACATAGTTAAGATCTGCTAACGTGAGTATAATGTACTCTGTCATGCATTGAATATTGTATTTTTTTAATAGATAAAAATCCATTCCAGGTTTATGCTAACTAAATAAAAGCCAACCCACAAGGACATAACTTTTTCCCTCATGCATTGAAAAGGTCATAGATTTTTTCCTCACATTTGTTTCTTGGCTTTTCAGCATTAGTTAAAAAAGAAAAGTCTGTATTTTTATACTATAATATAGTACAATATAGAAGCACTTTAAGGCAAATTATTTCTGAGATTTCTTGTGTTTTAAAAATTGAAAATTTATTTGTAATGTCCTTAAAAGCTCTCATGAATGTATATTTTTAATTCAGACTAATTTTGTTCTTTTTCTACTTAAAAAGTAAAGTGCCCAACTCTTCCCCAATCCTATACTTGGAATTGGTTTTTAGACTTTGTGTGTGTGCAGCCTTGTGTTTGACATTCTTTATGTACCTGTAGATATACATAAATACATTTTAGTGTTATACAAATGGGATTTTATTTCACCTGTACCGTTCTGTACATTGGTTTTCTCTCTGAACACATTTTACYCACCTCATTTCATTTTAAAGGCTATATAATATTTCATATGGAAGCATATAATTTATTTATGCAAATTGTTATGATGAATATATAATTGCCAGAATTTTAGTAAAATAATGTCTGTTGAAGTAAACGTCTTTGTTCCCCTATTAAAGACATAATTTTAGAAATAGAATTGATCACTTCATTGGTATATACACTTAAGTGTTTAATAACTTGTCAGAATCTCTTCCAAAGAAGAACTTAAAGTTGTTATTTATGTATCTGTTCCTACCAAGAATATATCAAGTTTCCTTTTTCTCTCTGTTAGATGTGACCACAGGGTGCTTGTAGCTTTTATGAATCATTTAGGTTTCATTGGAATGCTTTAGGAAAGAAGTAAAATTTGCAATATAAATTATAAGTCTTGTGGGTGCCAGTATTGAATAGATTTTAAAATAAGGTGGTGTGTTGTATTTTCTGAGCTTGGCCAGACTATTAATTTCAGATGCTACATCAGCCCCTGATTGTCCCTGAAGCCTTTTAAAGGTCTTCTAGCACCTTTAGGGCTTCTAGGTGAAGGTGAGAATAGATATGGAAAGAGTCTCTTGAAGATTCTGCCCATTTCCAGTCTGTGCCATTTGTGCTAAAGATAACTAAATACCAATAATTTACTTAAAATCATTGGTACTTTGGTGAAAGAGGATCTATACCAGGTGGTAGCCTATTCTAAAATTTTGAATTATATGCAATTGTTATATAGTAGGGATATCAAGTACCTTTCTTTTTTTCAAAGAAAATCATTTGGCATATTCTTTCAGCTTACAGAACTGTAGCTAGCTGCCCCTCCTTTTGGTGGTTTAGATCAGCCCTCTCCAGGCTGTACTTTGAAGTCTGTGAAATACATGGATAATTTAGGCTGACATACTTGGCAGGCCCGTTTAAAAAGCAGAATTGTTTGATGGCATGACACAAGAGGTCTGTTAACTGAGTTATAAAGAACTGAGGCATTTCCAACAAATCCTAGCTTTGGCATGAAATTTAAATAGTTCTTATTTCGTAGTGTGCAGTCAGTGAACTTCCTGAGATATAATATGGTCTTTCAGTGCAAAATATTAGGAAATGGAAGTTTTACTGTACCTAGCTGTTTCTCCAAGGAGGAATGGATGGAATTGAAAATGTGGTTATTTTCTCTTTTAATTCATTTCAGCTAAAGAAGAGAGACTATGATAGCAAGATGTGAGGAAACCAGTCTAGAAGGATTGGTAGCCCTTGGGAAATGTGAAAAAGTAGTTAATCGGTGGTGGGGTTGGGAGGGGATACCAAAATAATGAGGTTAATCTAATTATTATGGTGAATTTAGTACATAGCCCAAAAGTCAGTGGCCTTTCTTAAAAATATTACAAAATTAAATCTAAAGATATGTAGTTAATTGTCTGTGTGTATGTTATAAATGTTCTCAAACCTTGCTTAAACAAAGTAGAATTTAATTTTTTAAAGTTCTATATGTTTATTGTAATTTCATTCTGATCACTATAATCAATCAGCTTTTTTAAAATTCTAAGTTTTTGACTCAGATGTRCTACTCTTACCAGAAAGGTGAGTTTTATATAATTTTGCGATGAAGAAAGAACTATTCCAAGGCAAAGGTTACCAAAATAAGGCTTCCAGTTTATGTTGCTAAGCTCTCTGAATGGTGGCATTACTATTGGGCCATTCTCTCACAATAAAAATGAAACTACAAAGTAGTTTGAATACATGCCTGTGTGTTAAAGTGGAAGCATGTGACACCAACAAATGGGTACCACATGGTAGAAATACCCAGAAGCAAGTCAGTAGTATGAAAGGGATAATTTAGTTCTGTTTCATTTCATTTTTTTCCCTTTAGGAGGAGAAAGAGTTTGTGTATGTTTGTGTTCCTACCGTAGAATTAGGCCCCTCATTTAAGTTTATGCACATAGTTGGTTTTGTGGGGTTTTGTTCCTGCCTGATTTTAATATTGATCTTTATTCTTTCTCACACCTTTGATTATAACTTTTAGATACCAGATTACTTTATCCTTGAAAATAGAAAGGATGGAGAGTGATAGTATGGTGCACACTTTCTTACCTCAGCAGTTGGCTTCTGTGTTGCCTTAGAACATGGCCTACCGTTCCTGGCCTTGTTAGTTGTTTGGGTGTGCTTAATTCCTTTTCCAGGCTTTAGTCATTTATCAGAAAATAATTATTGAGGGATTAGTACATTCAAGCCCTATGCTGCCGCTGACCTCTACCATCTAGGGATATCAATAGTTGAGTATGTTGAACATAATATGCTCTAAGATGTTACATGGCAAGAGCAGTTATTTCTCCATGTCTGTTTAGTCAGAACCTTAATTCAGAATATGCTTTCCATAAGTTACAATACCGTTGGTGACTTCACTTGATTTTTAAAAATAATGTATTCCATTTGCTTACATAGAATTCTTAAAAATCATGAAAATAAGCATGTGTATCAAAAAACATTTCAAGAATTCACATCTTTGCCCAGTGCAGTGGCACATGCCTGTAATCCCAGCAATTTGGTAGGTTRAGGCARGAGGATCACAAATTCAAAGGCCAGCCTGGGCAATTTAGCAGACTGACTCAATATTTTAAAAGCGGGGTAGAGACAGGGGTAGGGTGGGGATGTAGCTCAGTGGTATAGTGCCCCTAGGGTCAATCAATACCTAGGACTGCAAAAAAGAATGCACACCTTTAATTATATTAAGTAGATATATTTATAGCTATACATAACTTGGCTCTTTACCCATATTGTCTCCATCTAAATTTAAATTCTTTATCTGTGTACTATGTAGTACTGGAAGGAACATGGGTTTTATTGTTAGACAATCCTGATCATATCCTGATTTTGTAATTTATTAACTATGTAATTAATCATAGTTATAGCCAGTTAGTTTGATTTGGGGCAAGTTCTTAAGTCATTCCAAGTTATTGTTTCTCCTGTTTCATAAGGATAATAATACCTACCTTGTATAGTTGCCTTGTGACTTCAGTAAAATTATAGATTGACAAGTAAGTACTAAATACCTGACACGTGGTAGATTATCAGTTAATATTAGTTTTCCTTTTACCCCATTTGTGTGCTCACTTTTTTTTAAAATTTTTTTTTAAGAGAGAGTGAGAGAGGAGAGAGAGAGAATTTTTAATATTTATTTTTTAGTTCTCTGCGGACACAACATCTTTGTTGGTATGTGGTGCTGAGGATYGAACCCAGGTCGCACGCATACCAGGCGAGCGCGCTACCGCTTGAGCCACATCCCCAGCCCCTGTGTGCTCACTTTTATACTACTTTAATAGTAGAGTACAGTATCTTAAAGTACCTAGGTCCTTTTGGATATTCAGATGAAAGTCTTATATACTTTATGTCAATTCTGACTAGTAGCTCTTACCTATTGTGATAATACTGTTGAAGAGCTTTTGCTTAGTATATGCTAAAATGAGGCCGCATTCTCTTTGTGTTTTATTTAGAGACGGGGTCTCACTGAGTCGCTTCGGGCCTTGCTCTTACTGAGGCTGGCTCTGAACTTGCAATCCTCCTGTCTCAGCATCTGTAATCCTCCTGGTTTAACCTCCCGAGCCGCTGGGATTACAGGCATGCGCCACTGCGCCCTGCTGGCCACCATAGTATTCTGATGAGTAACCATACTGTATTTTATATAGTTATTTCCCTATTTAGGTTGTTTCTGATTTTCACTATTGAAAATAATGATCCAGTAAATGTCTTTCTACATGAAGCCTTTATTTTGTTTGTATTTAAGATTATTTCCTGTAGGTAGTATCATGAATAAATGAATAAAGAGTATGAGTTTTAAGGCTCTGCTAAAGTGTTGTGCAAAGAAATTKTGTGCTTTATATTGTAATAAAACCTTACTGGACTCACATTGAGGGTTCTTCTCCCCTCCTCCCCATTAAATACCTTTGGAAATTCAGTGATTGAAAAGGACTTGCATTCCTGAGGTCCGATGCTTCTTTTTATGTCACATAATAGGTTTTCTTTTGTGTGTGTGTGTGTGTGTGTGTGTGTGTATTGAGTCAGTTTCTTTAGTAATGGTTAATGTGTCCTTGTGACCAGTTCTTTTGGTTTTTTTTCCAGATGTAGGGGCAAAAAACTACAGGCATCTCTGTGCTGTTTATTACAACAAGAATCCTGGGTTTGAGATAATCCATGGGCTACTGGACAGAATTATGCAGCTGCTCGATGTACCTCCTACCAAAGATAAGGGAGGCTACATGATAAAAGCGTCAGAAGGTAAGGTGGGCTTGCTGAATCCAGAGTTAGTGATAATGTATTAAAGAAGCTAAATAAGTCCTATTTTTCTTTTCTTCTTCTTCTTCTTTTTTTTTTTTTTTTTTTTTTATTTAGAGGGTATGGGAAGGGTTATTTGTACTGGATTGAGGTTTGGTTGGAAGATATTTTTGAATTTTGCTTATATTTATTTTTCTTAGTCCTCAGAGATTTTTGTTTTAATGTTTGTTTTCTTTTCCATTTTGAAATTTCTTTAAAAATTACCATGAAATGTATGGATCTTTTTAAAGATGAGTAGGATTCTCTCTTTCTTTTTTCAATAAAATTGAAATATTTAATAGCATAGAAATAATGCAAGAAAGACATTATGCTCATAGAATTCTGGTGTTAGAATGTAAACAACACTGAATTTATCTCCAGTGCCACAAAACAAAAAAACTAAAGTCAGAAATCTTCAGAAAATAGAAGCTGTAGCATTCAGCATTTGGAGAATCCAGTGTTCATATAGTCCAGTATCCTGTTTTTCTAAGAAGGGAACTCTAAGGTGAGGCAAGTGAAGTGCATTGAGCTGGGTCACCCGTGTAGAACCAGGACTCACCTCCCATGTTCTTCCTGTAAGGCCTCGCTGTCAGCCATTTTGTACTCACTCACCTGCTTACTCTAACTCTTGAATTCTGCCCTAAGATCTGGTGGTCCAGGCTAATGGTAACCTGTAAATAGATGTGAAATATTTCTTTTCCTTGTATAGAAAATCTTTCTCWGAAATCTTATTTAGCAAACAGGTTAACTGAAATTAAAAATCAGTTCCCTAAAGCAGATTGTGTCACTTAAGTGAGGTCCAGTTATTTGGAAAGTTGCAAAGAGCTGAACTAGTAGATTCAAACATACTTTGGTATTGGTATGATGCTTTTTATAACTTTTATATAAATCATTATCTTTATATAAAAGAATATATAAGTTCCTGTATAAGTTCCTGTATAAGTTCCTTAGACATTCATTTCTCAGAAGAATCTGAGGTCCCAGTTAAGAAGATAAGCATAATAATAATAATAATAAATTTTAATTAAAAAAGAAAAAAGAAGACAAGGATGGATAGGACCTGGGCCCTGCTTGGAGGAACTTGCAGAGGAAAAGGCTGCTGTATCTCATCTCTTAAACCAAGCTGCAAAGATATGTACCTCAAGGTTCAAAGAGGAAGAGAGTGCAGCTTCTTGAAGCTACCAGAAAAATATTAGTGAGTTTCTGGAAGTAAGGTGGATCTTTGAAGGAATAGATGGACCCAGGGAAACAGGCAACCCCTGTGAGCAAAGCTAAAGGTGGGAAACAGGCTGATTTGTCGAGCAACAAGCTGCAGTTTGTTTTCAAGGGAAAACTTGATTWAAAAACCTTTTGGARCTGAGGATATAGCTCAGTGATAGAAGACTTGTCTTGCCTCTGAAAAGCCCTGAGTTCAATCCCCAGTAATGCAAAACAAAAACAAAAATTAGAAACCTTTAGAAGGTAGAAGCTATAGAATTTAGCTTTTGGAAAATGTCATGATACATGCCACTTGGAACTTTTTATGATWCAGTTAATATGTGCTGATCTCCCTTTAAAAATTGGATTTTTATAATTCTAAATTTGTGGTATAATTTGAATTCTACCTAAATTAGCACTGAAACAGAATATGACGCTTGGAACTTAATTTCACTAATATACCATTATCTGCTGCTTTGGTTCAAAATGTATTTTTTAAATTAGTAAATATATACATAAATGATGACTTCTTCTGATGTGGTTATAGCTCTTTTGTTTTTGTGGTGCAGGAACTGAACATAAGTCCTCACCAAAGGCAGGCAGACACTTCACCACTTAGCTACATCCACAGGCTGGTTGTAGCTCTTTAGGTTTGATTTTGTTAGGCCAAGTTGTTACTTTGGTTTTTAATTATGAGAATTTATGGATTCATACTTATGTTTCTTCTATGAATCTTCATTGGTTCTCATTATAATGAAATTTCATAATGTTTTAAAAAAGTTTTTACATCTATGAAATATCTAAGATTTTTTAATTTGGGCAGCTTTGGTATCACTTCTTTTTACATGTGGGTGGCCTGGATAAGTGGTATTCAATATTTCTAACTTGCTTTCCCTGAAAAGGGGTAGGATGTTTACTTTCACTGCCCATCACCATCATTGGCCACATCAGTTGCCCTGGATTCATGGGCATATGCTAGTCCTGGGTGCTTTTTTCTCAGGWTGCTTTCTTGAAGAACCATCAAGCCAAAGAGAATTAAGGTCATTATAAATAATGATTCCTCATTTTTCATAGGGATTTCTAAGTCTGTTTTGATTATCTAAAGACAAATATGATTACTCTTTTTTTCTTTYTTTATGGTCAAAGAAATCAAGGCCTAAAGAAATGCTTGTCAAAATAAGTCAGTGGTAAAGCTGGTATTAGTTCTTTGTCTAATATATATGCATACATACATACCACAACTAAGAAACAAAAATTTGTTTCCATACTCCTAAGTAAATCATTAAACACAGGAATTGGTTGTAGGGGCTTGTTTAGCTACATCATTTCCTCAGGCCTCCTGTTTTTACATATAGCTTTTTCTGCTAACAAAAGGTCTTCAGAGTATCAAAAAGTAGAGTAGAAACAAATTAAGAACTACTGTTCATGCCATTCTTGATTATTGAGCTGTATTCTATTACTCTGGCATATGGTTTACTTTTTAATAATTAAAAATCCCTAGTGGCTTTGCAATTATAATTGAGCTAAGCCTGTACACCAGAGATTCCTGCTAATGTCAGTTACACTGACAGTTATACCTAATTTTTTTCTGTCCTTTGTAATGTATGCTTCCAAGCTTCCCTTTGTGCTGCTTTGTTTGATGGTAGGGATAAGTGGAATAGAACTTAATTCCCTTTGAGAAACTTGGCCCTGTCCTTTGTAAGAGAAATCTGGAAATTCATTTGATTGATCATCACATCAATTCCAAGGAGTTGTGTTGACATTGAATTGTAACCCTGCTTATTATGCAGCCAGCAGCCCTCTGCAGCATGTGGAATATCTGCAGAAGCACTCAGAAAGCCTGTGACTGTCATCAGACTGAAAAGCCTGATTGCTTAATCTTACGTATTTTTCATTTGCTGAGCACCTTTGCAGTTTAAGACCCTAAAGTAAGCTGGAATATCAAGCTGATATGATGATGGAATAAGGTCAATGTTAGTTAAAAAAAAAAAAAAAAAAAAGAGCAACCTTTAACTAGTTAGCAGACTACAGAGAATTTTAAAGATTTCAAAAGGGTTCGACTCAAGAATGTTTTAGTGGCATTTGATCAGATTATTATAGCATATGTATATGCTTTTTTCCAGGCTTTTTCCTCTGTTTTTGTGGTTTGTTGCAAACTAAATTATGTATGTTTAGATGCATTTATCCTTTTCRAAAACCACTTCTGGGCAAGAAAAATTCTCAACATTTTTGTGTTTAGAACAATTCTGTGGTTGCTGGGCAGATCAGTGGCAAAAATTATTTCTTGTAGAATGTAGCGGGCTTTGCTTGTGATTGGTTGCATTGACTTGAGAGGTCCCCTCACCCCCCATTAGCTTGCTACCTATTTCAGTTTTGATTATTTACAGTTCTACAGAAAACTTCAATTTAACTTGAGACAGGGTTCCAGATGGACAGACAAAAGTCTTAGAACTTTAGTTTTRACAATTTTAGTTTTCATGCTGCTCATAATTCATTTTATGAAGTGAAAAATAGCTTTGTAAGTAATATGCACATTTAATCCTACACCATATGTATATACTGTGGCTATTTAGGAACCTTCTGTTACATCACACCTAATGATTGGCTTGACCTGTAGGTCATGACCTTATTTGCCTTTCAGGACACCTGTGAAAGATTTCTGATGCTAAAAAAAAAAAAAATATGGGTGAAATTGTGATGTTTCCCTGGTCGTCAGTCACACTGGTTCTCATGTAATAGGAGCTTAGAAATATCTGTTGRACAATTTGTTGAAGTAAAGGTATTCAGATTATGGTTTGATTTACACAAAATTTTCTGGGCTGTAATAAAGGAGGAACTGTATAGCATGTCTGAATTTAGTTACTATCAACAAAGGTGTTGTTCTGACAAGGCATCAGGTTAAAAAAAGAAGTTTGGAAGCTTTTAAACTTCTAACCTTATTACCCTGTGTAAAAATAGTTTTTACTCCTCTGACTGTCTACTTTGTTGTGTTTGAGGCAAGTTTTTCTAGTACTACCATTTTCATTGGCTTTCTTGCAAGAATAAAAGACTCAAAGCAGTATTAAATGAACAAGGGGTAACTGCCGCACAGCGGGATCAGTGGTGTCCTAGGGGCCRCAGGGTTTTTACAGCAGCTTAGCACTAATCACAGATTCCCTGGCCCTGTCTTGGTTTTGAGCTTGTTTATTGTTTTTGTTACCTTCAGATATGCATGAGGTAAGTTCTGCCTCTCTGGTTCACTTAGTTCCTATTTTTGACGTGTTTTGGTGTTTACCTGACATGGCAGTACTCATAACAAATTGGAGTGTTGGACACCAAGTGGACTGGAAATGACTTGGTCAGCTCAGTATTCCCTCTGAGAGGTAACTATTTTAATATAGCATTTTTCAGATTTTTTACATGTTCTCTCCCCTAAGGACCTTTTTCAAACCTTTTTTTTTTTTTTTAATTGCCCCTCCGTGAAATTTTAATATACAGGTAACACTGTCTACTATGGGTTGTATTTATAGTGCTGTATATATAAGAAAAATAAATGCAAAGCTTAACATTTTTTCAWTAGTGTAGGGTTAACAATGACTAAGCAAAAATTTTAATCTAAAAATTAATATAAAAGTTTTAAGATTACTTATTCATTCATGTAAATTGTATGAAATTAYATACACCAATTAGCAGTTTATGAAATACGTAATGAAATAATCAAAAGTTTTAAAAATCATTCAAAACTTGTTTTTTCAACAAAATAATGAAAAAAATTTAATTGGTCAAAA